CTTCCTCACACTTTCTCCATCTGTTTGCCTCTCTTTCTCTATATGTCTATCACCTCCTCTCTCCCCCCCCCCCCCCCCCCAAGCACCCAAAGCTTTTCTGGGGTGTATGCAGAATGGCAAAGGGCCCCTCATCAGAAATACCCTGATTAGCAAAAACTTACCGGGTCTCACACACTGTAACTCTTAGCAGACTCATGTGCCTGAGCCTGAGGCCGGGACAGCGTGAGCCCATCTATCACGCCACGCCGAGGCCGGCCCTGACCCCGATTCGGCCGCGTCGTGCAGTCCGTGTGAAACTTCACACGCATCACCGGCTTCCGGCAGGCATGAGGTGTCTATGTGATAATCAGCACGGTGGCAAGCCAAAGAGAAAAGGAACGCAGTGTTTATGAAATAGGGAGGTGGAGGGGGGGGGGGGGGGGGGGGGGGGGGGGGGGGGGGGGGTTGGGGGATGTGGAGGAGTAGGGGAGAAATGGTGAGGGGGGAGGGTTTGCCCAGCATTGAACTCATTCTCAGGGTCACTGGACAAATAATGCAAACCGTAGTTTCTGAGAATAAGCATCTGGGTCACCTGAGCCCCTTCCTCAGGGTAGCTTTGCCCCCTCCTTCAGGAGGGCTGGAGGGCTGGAGAGCCTTTGGGGCCTGAGCTCATTGGTCCCTCGCTGACAGGCTCTGGACGCGTGTCGGAGCTCCGAAGCCCAGCCGACCGGCCTCTTCCCGCCTCCATGCTTCATGGCATGTTTCCCAAACGGCTTTGAAATCCTGTTTGTGGGAATGCCCCCCCCCCCTGATTTTATTATCCCTTCAATTTGATGTCCATCTCCGCAGGTCAGACACGCTCCATCCGCCCGAGGGAGTTTCCTCATGCTGCCACGGGGTCCCACGCGATGTCGGTGGGCCGCTGTTCTCTGCTTCCTGCCTCCAGTCGGTTTATCAAAATTAAACTGCTTAGATGGCGAGTTTAAAGGGAAGCGGCATTGGTGTGTGGAGCTCCTTCCCTGAGGCTGCGGGTCGCGATGCTGCACTACCAAAGTTTGCGGCTTATTTACCAGATGCCTGTTTGCCCTTCCATGGCATCAGGGCCTCCACTTCACACCATGAAACGGGCCAATTATCGTTCATTATGCCCAGATGGGTATCAACCCAGACAACCTGTGGTTCGGGGGGGCGGCAGACATGGAAACAGCACCTGGGGGGAGTGGGCACACCCATCAGGCCTATTCTATTAGCCCCCTCCTCCTCAGTCAAAGTCACCCTCCAAGATGTCACCGGCTGCCGGCCCCAACCCACAGGTCACCAGAGAGGGACACACATCGCCACGTTAGCGGTGGGGAAGCCCCCGAGGCACACTCTATGGGCAGGAACCCGCTGCTGGCCTTTATAAGGAATACATTACCCTCATTACCCACAATGCTGTGTGGTGCAACGCTGCAGGCCGTTACCAGGGTTACAGTCACTGGAACGGGAAACTGGGTGGTCTCTGGCTGGCAGTGTAATGGGTGGTTTTATATTTGTGACGGGGTCCAAATGGATATTGGGAGGTTATAGTTCTGCTTTGAGCACTTTGTCTGGACTACATGCTTTTGTCAGTGCCACTATATCCAAGCGAAAAATATTTGCCTGAAGCACGCAAGAGCTTAGGATGGACTTGTGTGGTTGTACAGAGTTAATAACTGACTTTCAGGGGTTCATCTGAAACATAATATATATGAAATGGCTAAATGATTTTTGACCAGCAGGTGGCATGATGGTTAAGGGCATCACTATGTAGCCACCGTACATGTGCATAAAACTCTCAGGCAGTAAATGTAAATCATTCCTGACGGTGCATTTCTCAGTTCAAAGCTGAGATAAAAATACCCGCTTTTGTGCCGGATGCCGTGTGACGGAGTAGCTGTCGTCTTCGGCCCCGCTTACATCTCAGCAAGAGCAGCGTTTGTCATAATGCCGCCAGCATCCACAGCGTCCTTGATCGTGATGGAGAAATGCGCCTGGGTTTGCTGCTTTGAGCTGTGCAGGAGGCAGGCGTTTGTCAGACTTATTCCCACTGCCTGCGGCGGGCGCTAAAGCCCCGGGGGGGCAGGGGAGCTGGGAGACTTTCCGGAATATTGCGGAAGCCACACACACCGACTCAGTGCTCGAAAGCAGGGAGCGCTGTTTGCTGCATTCGCTGTAAAAGCGATCGACACGTTTACCCGAGACAAGATGCGGGATGCTGAGTGGGAGGAGGACAGCGTCACTTTGGGGTATTAAAGAAGAGCTCTGCCTTTTAGGTGAAGTGTGCAGCTCAGTGGGTTAGGAGGCTTTCTCTGTAATTATGGCTGTTGATTCAAATCCTGTGGTCAGCAGAGCAGTTTTCCTGTTAGGCCCTCAACCCCTAAACGCTCCATCGCTGTGGATAAAAGCATCTGCTTGATCCAGTCCAGCTTCAGGTACTGGAAGGAGCTCAAAAGACATCAGTGGGCATAATTGGCAGCTCCGCCCCCTAACCCGCTCATCACAGTTTTGAGTGGAAGCATTGAAGGGTTTGTAGTAGATCAAGTAGAGTTAAAGTCTGTCACTGCTTAGTTTCAGTTTCATGCTACATCTCAGTGATGATCCCTGCCATATCTACTCGATCTAAATGGGGATATTAAGTAATCTGGTGTGCGTGCGGAGGCCGGCCATGTGACGGATGGGTAAAAGGCTCGCCGGTTAGACCTCTACCACCCGCAGGAATGTAAGACATTGTCTTCATCTTTTGTGGCTGCTTGAACAAACTAGGTTACCTATTATGGCGGCAATTACGAGACGGGAAAATTGCCCGTCGTGATGAATGTGCTCCGTGTGGCGGAAGAAGATATGCACCGAAATCACTCCCTAGCGGTATGAAGTGTCCTCAGGCGGGGGGGGGGGGGCAATCCCACCGCTTCCCATTTATGTACAGTCACACGGAACGGAACCTGTCGCCGGTCACGAGCGCGCAAACACAGTCTGCCGAGCGCATGGCCATCACGCACCAGACACGTGTTTTCACGGCGACACGCCGGACAAAGTCTCAGCCAGCATTGTGAGATGGGAAAAAAAAAAGCTGGAGCCTCGTCGCGTTCATGCCGCGTGCGTCTTCCAGGCTGCGTGCGTGGCCCGCTTAGCTGCTTAGCCACATCCCTGCAGGCAGAGCGTGGGCGGCGAGTGGGCAGGAAGTGGGCAGCAGGTGCTCTGCCTGGACCGCGCTCACGGCCAAAAGCCCATGGCCACTTTACATCCCTGCGGGGGAGCCACTGTTTTGCCGTTGAGAAACCTGTATATCCTGCCGATCCAGTAAACACACGCACATGTAAATACTTAATGATTTTTTTATATTTGTGCTCCTAAACATCTCTGCTGGTCCCCTTCCTGTAGTAACGCGAGTGTGATTCTCCGTACGGTAACAAGTGATCACCCGGCCTTCCCAGCCTGCCGCGTCTGCTCCCTTCCATAAAGCGCGTCCCACGCACACACACACACACTCAGAAGCGCACACAGACGCCAGCGGCAGCCACTGCTCCTTTTGAAGACCATCACCATAACAACGGCTTCGCACGTCTCAGGGAAAAAAAAAACCGAGCAAATCTCCATCACTCTCCTCGCACGCCTGCTGAGCGAGAGAGGCTCATCGCGCGATGTCCGTCCGTCAGCGTGGAGCGAGTACCGTCTCCGCCCGTGGACGGTGACCGTCTCGGGGAGGGAGGGAGGGGGTGCCAGCGACGACCGTAGGATGCTCGAGTCCCGCCGCGGCGACGCGGGGCAGAACATCGCAGCTCATGGTGAGTGCGAGAGGGTCGCCCTGCGTGCGGGGGTGCCGGGGGGGCGACGGGGAGGAATTACATAACTTCTCTGCTGTAGTATAACGGTGGGAACGCTGATGGTTTTACTTGTGGATCCAGGTTTTTACTGAGCTCCTCATGGTCTAAGCGGAGGGTTTTTCTGTTGGTTCATCATTCGCCATCGATGATTTTTCTTAAACAGCGATTAGGCGTCAGAGCTAAAGTGCAGAAGAAGTGCGGAGTTACTGCTCTTGAGGGTATCGACTGCGCCATGGTCGCTGATATCAGGGCTGGGATTTGTGGCTGCAGAGCACGGTGGCAGAGCTAACGGCAGAGTCTCTTGCTAACACCAGTGCGGTGACTGATGCCCGGGTCATTGTGGAGGAAGGACTTCAATTAGGAAATTCGCTGCCTATGGGGCCAGAATAGTGGGGCAGACTGTAGGTACTCTCCTGGGGGGTACTGCCCTCCCTCCTGCCTCTTTAAAGAGGCAGAAGAGTCAGAGACAGGGGTCTCTAGGGATGGGGTAGTACAGCACCCCCTCCTTGATGGGCATGCTTCTTTGGTGGGTGATGAAGGACTCTTGATTCCGCTCTTGTACCTTTGAGGAAGTTATTCAGCCAGAATGACTCCGGTAAAATGCCAGCTGCTATTAAAGGGGCGTAATTGTTCTGCCAAGAGGTCAGGCTGCCGTCCCGAGTGACTCCAAGCAGCTGCACACCCGCCCTCTTGTGCCCCCTTGTTATTCCAAACACCGTCGTCTTTGTCCCGACTCCAGGGTGATCGATATCTGCTCTGATTTATTACCTCGGGAGACGAGCACAGCGATGGGTAAACTTCAGGCTGACATCGTCCATGAGAAAACCACTCTGCTTCACTGCCAATGACCTCACTAGCCTCCCATGCCTCCGATATTGGTGCCTCGAGTCGGGGATGTCCGAATTGTCTTATCTCACACTTCCATGTTACCCAGCCCTCCACGTATTGGCAAGTCTCTTGAGGTGTGAAGTGAGTTATGTGCAGGAGAGCAGCATTACGCCACACTGCATCATTTATGAGTGGAGGGCACCACGGCGACATCACCGCGATGGGGACGCGGAGCATTGATCGGAGACGATGTGAAAAGGCAACCCGCACTGGCCGTGGAGAGGCCCTCGAGGTGCTCGCCCTCTCCCACTTCTGCTCACGGATCCTGCTCGCTCCTCTCCTCCCCAGGCAAACCTGAAGAAGTTCATGGAATATGTGCAGCAGAGGAACGTCGAGAAGGTCTCCAAGTTCCTGGAGAAAGGGCTCGATCCTAATTTCCAGGACCCAGAGACAGGAGGTAAGGCGTCTCCCCTGAGCCGGTCGCCTCCTCCCAGCAGGGAGCTTGTTAGAGCCAGCATAGACCAGGACCCCTGGCAGCCCCTCCGGGGGTTGTCCTCTGAAACTGCCTGTCACCAACAGGGCCATCTAAACATATTTTCCTTCATCTGAGGGATGAGCTAGGCCCCATGTGGCTGAGAGAGACAACAGGCTGGACTAGGCTGAGGGAGAAGGTCGTGAGGTTGGGTAATCAGGCGGATAGAAAGGGTGGTACTGTGTGTGGCTCACGCCTCCCTCCAGCATGACCTATATCAGCTGTATAATTATACATTTATATTTCTGATTTCCGTGCCCCCTGTCCCCTGTCCCAGTGCAGTAAATTCACGGGGTGCTACTTTCATCCACTGCTCGGTCAGCCGTATTGTTCAGTTTTTGCCGCCCAGGGGGGTCTAAAGCCAGCATCCACCTGCTGTTTTGCGTAATTTAAGATGAGGAGATGCAGTCAAGGCTCGGCTCGGCTCACTGGACTCTGCGCCCCGCCCTGGCATCCGCCCCACCCTGCCCTGCCGTCCGCCCCACCCTGCCCTGCCGGGCCACTGCGTCAGGAGGCAGAGAGCTTTGATGAAAGCACTCCGGTGTTTATTCACTCCTTTGTTTGGAAACTCATTAGCGACGACCTTTCGTCTCGGGGAAAAGGTCCTGCGTGGGTGGGCTGTCAGCCGGGATGGGGAGGCCCAGTTCCGCTTGGGCCGCATCATGAGCATCGGAAGTCCTTGGGCTGAAGTAACACTTAGTTGGAGCTGTCCAGAAACAGCCAGCCGACAGGACTGTAGAGATCCCAGCCCCTCACTTCACAGCATCTGACACAGAAGCAGTGCCGGTCACCCCAGTAGACGACATGGGTGGCCACCTAGGATGCCATATATTGAGGGAGCCCCAGCTTAGCCAGCCTGTTTGTCTCCCTACATGCTCCGCAAGCTGAAGGGGGCACCGGCAGTGAAGCCTGCCTGAAGGAGGGGGTGGGGGAAACTGGCCTCGGGCTCCACATGGGGTTCGACCAGCACTGGTCAGGTGGGGTAGGCTTCCTAAAACAGGGATGTAGAAGTCCTAATATGTGCCTGGGCAAAATCACAGAATGTTCACTCAGGCTTTGGTCTGGGGCATCCAGTTTAACTTGTGAGTTGGGCTGGTTTGCCAGGGAAAAGTGGATGTTTGTGGAATTAGCTCAGGCCATCTTCTCTGAGGGTGAATAACGCTAATGCTTACAGAGTAGCTTAAGGTTGTGCTTAAGGTTGTCCGGGCGAATCTGGTCCATTTGTTCTGCTAGGGATGGGTTTTTGTTCACAATCCTTGTTCGCATATGAGTTTTACTGGATCGACTGGGTTTTCACTGGTTATGATGCGAAAAAAACAGAAGCTTTTTAAGTAATCTAAACAACTTTTTGCAGTAACTTTGTTAGGTAACGTGATGTAGGGAAGACAGAATGGGACTTTCTGAGGTCAAGTTGGCGGCATCTCACCCCAGCTCACACAGATCCCTACCGGTTAGGGAAACTGGTTTATAGCTGGTTTAAACCAGTCTGAACCAGAAGAGCCATGTATCTCAGCTGCCAGCATCCTTGTCTTGTTTGAAGCCCCTCCCAAACGCAAGCCTTGAAGGAAGTGCACCATCCTTGTCTTGTTTGAAGCCCCTCCCAAACGCAAGCCTTGAAGGAAGTGCACCACCGGCACAGACACCTCCATCTCAGATGAGAGTGACGGCCAGAGACCAGCCCTGCACTGGCAAATGATGCAATTTGACATCAGCAAGCTGAAAGTCTCGTGCCTTATTCATTAGTTATTTTCTTTGTTAATTAAGGTCTTTTCCGGTAATCTGTGGATGTGTGCCGGATTTGTTTGGGGTTACAGGGGATATTGCCTTGTCTTTCTCTCACTGCGTGTGGAGGGGAGTGGGCTTGCATTGGTTTTATGGAGTCAGGGTGTCAGGGGGTCTCTCTCTGTGACAGACTCCTGCTCCATGGTGAGTCCGGTCTTTGTGTGTATGTGCGTATGCAGAATCTCCCCTAACCATGGCAGCCCAGCTGGACGGCTGTGCAGAGCTGATCAAGGTGTTGAAGAATGGTGGCGCTCACCTGGACTTCAGGACCCGGGATGGCATAACGGCCCTGCACAAGGCTGTGAGGAGCAAGAACCACACAGCCCTCATTGTGAGTGAGATGGGCTCAAACAAATCATACAGCCCACACAGCTCGTATAGCTCACACAGCTGAGTCAGCTCACAGAGCTCATGCAGCGCACACAGCTCATGCTGTTCACACAGCTCACACAGCTAAGACAGCTCACAGAGCCCATACAGCTCACACAGCCCATGCAGTTCATATAACTGAGACAACTCATAGAACTCATACAGCTCACACAGCTGAGTCAGCTCACAGAGCTCATGCAGCGCACACAGCTCATGCTGTTCACACAGCTCACACACCTAAGACAGCTCACAGAGCCCATACAGCTCACACAGCCCATGCAGTTCATATAACTGAGACAACTCATAGAACTCATACAGCTCACACAGCTGAGAGAGCTCACAGTGCTCATACAACTCACACAGCTGAGAAAGCTCACAGAGCTCACATGACTCATACAGCTCACAGAGCTCGTGTAGCTCACAGAGCTCATGCATTTCACACAGTTCACACAGCTGGGACAGCTCACAGAGCTCATACAGGTCACACTGCTCACACAGCTCAGACAGCTCACAGATCTCACATGACTCACAGAGCTCGTACAGCTCACAGAGCTCATGCAGCTCACACAGATCATGCATCTCACAGAGCTCATACAGCTCACAGAGCTCATGCAGCTCACACAGATCATGCATCTCACACAGCTCGTACAGCTCACAGAGCTCATGTAGCTCACACAGCTTATACAGCTGAGACAGCTCACACAGCTCAAACAGCTGACACAGATCATGCAGCTCAAGAAACATAAACAGAGGATGAAATGCTTGGTGTGTTGTTTTTTTAGAGGTAATTAAAAAAATCCGACATTGCCTTAAAATATGCATTTTGCCTCAGGAGACATGCTGAAAATGGTTTGTTTGTCCCCACTGGGTTAGGAAAACCAGACACAGATCAACCTGCAGTTCTTTAATGGAAGGCTTGCTTTCCTCTGACGTGAGCTGTCCCAGTGTCTCATGCATGGTTATACAGCACTCTGGCCACATTCCAATTCTGATACATGCTCTCCTGTTGCTTGGATGTAGCGACACCCCATAATATTAATGCCAGCCCACCCAATCTGTTGATGTTCCCGTCGTATCTTCTTCTTTAAACTCCTTTTCTCGCTTTTTTTACTCACATTTTTTGGTAAAACGTTAGCATTGGGTGTTGAGGCGCCCCCCCCCCCCCCCCGCCCCCCCATTTTGACACACAATGAGGCGGATCCTCTGCCAGCGCATCTCATCTCGGAGGCGTTTGGTGCAGCTGAGACCCTCAACAGCTGTGTCCCACCCACCCTCTCGCATGCCGATGGTATCCCTGTGACCCAGCTGTGCACTTAAGGATGCTCATCCACTCTCATTCCCCCATCCTGCATTCCCCTGTTTGGGGGTAAGGGTGGCCAGTCCGGCTTACCGGTACCATCCTCCTAGAAGTGTAGCTGAGCTTCAGTGTCCCCGGCAGACGCTGCTGGACCTGGGCGCGTCCCCAGACTACAAGGACAGCCGGGGCCTGAGTCCACTATACCACAGCTCCATGGTGGGGGGAGACCCCTACTGCTGCGAGCTGCTGCTGCATGATCACGCGCAGGTGGGCTGCCTGGACGAGAACGGCTGGCAGGAGATCCACCAGGTAGGAGGCTGGCGGCTTGCTCCGGTGGGGGTTAGAGATTAGGGGTTAGGGTTAGAGATTAGGGGTTAGGGTTAGAGATTAGGGGTTAGGCATTAGGGCTTTAGTCAGGAGTTAGACATTAGGCATTAAGGGGTAGGAATTCGTGGTTAGGGTTTTGGGGTTAAGGATTACAGGTCAAGCATTACAGTTTTGGGGTCAGATTTTATTGATGTATTGGTAATTAGTGGCTAGGATGTATGAGTTGGTGGTTAGTGTTTGCGATTTATGGTTTGGGGTAGGGCTGCACGATTCTGAAAAAAATGTGAATCACGGTTTTTTTTTTGCTTAGATTTCAGATCACGATTTTCTATAACGATTTTTTTCCTCAAATGTAAACAGTTATTGCACTCATTAAACTGCAAAAGGAAACACAACAAAATATGATTGTGCCAAACATATGATTGATCCAGGACCGGCATATCAGCTTCTGACAACAAAAAGGAAACGCTCAATTGGGCGTTCACTTAGGGTAACCAAAACAGACTTGTCTAGGAATGATTTAAATGGCAAGGATGAAAATGATTCTGATTGTCTCGGAGAATGCATGCAGCGCTCATGCAAAAGCAGCGGAGGTAAAACTTTAAACTGATTTTTAAACGTCTAAACTAAATAATCTTGAAAATGAATAGTAATTAAAACTGCAAAACTTAATAATTTTTTTTCCTATGGCAGAGTAAAAATGTTTTAGGGAAACCTAAACTCCCTCCTCACGCTATATTGTCTGTACCGATTTGAAGGAAAGAAAAGGCCTGATCTTAATCTACTGTAGCTGCCTGGCAAAGTTAAAATTGCACATTCAGAACATGTGCTGTAGGTATTAATATCGCACATTGTCCAGCTCTATAATATACTACAGAAATTTTTCGAATTCAGTACAAAAAAAACCCATCTCGCATTGTGATGTCATTCAGAACCAGTACCAGATTTTACACCAGTGGAAAACCAACACCTTGAAGTACTGTACTTTTGGTACTTTATTGAAGTACCAAAAGTAGGGTACCTAGTACAGTGGAAATGCGCCCTTTAAAGAGTATTCAGAATTATGGGACACTTGAGACTCTCTGGGGAAAAGTAAGAGCACTAGTCTTGATCCAGCTGATGTAATACAAGGTAGAAGAACCGTTGTAATTAGAAATTAGATCGCATAGAGGTCCTAGTTAGGGGATAGGGATTAGTGGTTAGGGCTTTAGGGTATGAGGGCTGAATTAGTGCAGGAGTCCAGATGAATGGCCCAAGCTTATCTAGACTGAAAAGTGCTACTTCCTGTGATCTTGTGATCTCCATCCCAAGGGGCACCCATGGCAAGCGGCTGACAAACATGGCTAAGAATGCCACCAAGGAGACAAAATCCCCTGGAGACAATTTGGTGATGCGGAGTTCAGAATTCCAGGCAGTTAGGGGTCTGTGATCAGAGAGAAACCCTGTAGGACTCCTTCAGTGCAGTGGCCGTATTTGAGATAGGTGTGTGATCCCCGGGGTTTCCAGACCCCACCACGCAAGGGAAGATGGATGGGAGGGGCTAGTGGGTGTGGCCATGCAGATCACAGTGATCCATGTCCCCCTGAAATCCGAGTCGGACCGAGAGGAGCACACTGGTTCACAAATAAATTAATTCACTTTTTAGCAGCATTTTTCATTGTCAGGATAGGACACAATAGTTAATAGGGGAGGCATATTGAATAATGTGCCGTATAATGGAAGCTTTGATGGGCTGAGCTATGATTTTCATTTTAGCTGTAATGCACGGGCTGAGAGTGTAAAAAAACAGAATGGCTATGATTGTATAGGGTGCCTGAGAAAAGGAGATTATTCCTAATAATGGCTTTTCCAATGAATAGTGGGACTGCGGCTTCCAGGAGGGAAAGGGGCCCTTCATACGGAACCCGTCTATGTCCCTGGGGAGACTCAGAGAGGGCAGAGTGGGTGGGTTCATTTATAATGGAAGGCCTCCCACATGATTGACTCATATGCTGGCTTCGGGTGGGTGGGGGGCTGACAGTTACTGTCACACAGTGGCTCCGGAGTGTCAGCTCTCACACGCACACCCAACCCAGCTCCTTGAGAGGTCAAGCACAAGGCAAAGGTCACAGAAAGCGCATGTGCTTGTTAGTGAGCTTCTTCGGCTGCCCCGCCCATGACGTGAGTGTTTTGTCGCCCCCTGCAGGCCTGCCGCCATGGCCACGTGCAGCACCTGGAGCACCTACTGTTCTACGGGGCGGACATGAGCGCACAGAACGCGTCGGGGAACACGGCACTGCATGTCTGCGCCCTCTACAATCAGGTAGGTGAACCCCCCCCCCCCGCCATCTCTCTCTAACACTTGTGTCTCTGCTTTGACCTGCTTTGACCTGTTCCCACCTTCTGACTGGGTCATGCTGTTTGCTGCACACCTTTGATCGCAGCACATGCCCTGACATCCCGTATCGCTGCAACACCCCCCCCCCACACACACACACACATCAGAAACCTGAGTGTCTCTTAATCTCCGGCCACCTGAAATATTAAGTGGTGATGAATTAACATCCTCTGCTTGGCTTTAACAGCTGAAATTTCTTTCCTATGCGCTCCGCTTGTTAAATCACGTAATTAATTAGCGCTGGGCCTCGTGCCCCTGCCACCTCATGACGAACTCGCCCCACCGGGAGCCCCCGCCCAGTGTGCAGCTCTTCCCTCAAACGCCAGCCCCCCACCTCGGCGTCTCTGAGCGCATAGGGTGTCTGTCATGATGTGTGGTCATTCGATATCTCTTCTGAACGCTAGTTGATTGGTGGAAATTGGTGGAATTTTTTGACAACTATGTCAAAATGGTCATGGCCAGCAAGTCAGAAGGCAGCGCGTGTTACAGGAACAAAGTAGCTCTTTCTGTGATCACAGCCCGTGTCTATATTTTGCTTCATGTTTGAAATCTGTGTATGGTCAGCATACACAAGAGGACATCACAGTCACATGGGGGCACTGAACCAATCAGAATCCGGAAATGCTTGTGCTTACCCCCACGCCCCTCCTCTTACAGATCGAAGCTCCTGGGTCACATGACCTGGTTTGCCGATTTGGCCACTTTATGGATTCTGTGCTTGCATGGCTGTGGAGGGGGTTGGAATCTGACCTGCTTTGTTGATCCAGGCCGGGTTTCGCTCCCAGTGAGGTGCAATTCTGGCTGTGTCTGCCATTCATGTTCATAATGACTGCTGACATGCTGAAGGTGGGGAGAGGGGTGGGGGGGAGGCTGAAGCTCTGGCTCATGCAACCCTAGCCTACCCCCCCTCCCCCCACACTTGCTGCTGGTGCCCGCATTCTCTCTGGCACGTGGAGGGAGATTCTGGCAGAGGTCTGGCAGTGGCGTGGTATGAGTCATACTGCTTTCCTGCTGGGTAAATATTTAGCGTTCCAAGGTAATGGTGCATGTTCACGACAATGGAAACAAGCGCAAGTCCCCACTTTGCATTTCCCCGGCAAACCATGCCAAACGCTTCCTCTTCCCGGGTCTGTGCTTTATCCTGGTGTATAAACTCTAAATGGATGTAAAACCCCAAGTCCCAGTGAAATAGGATGTCATGCTGCATCTTCCTCAGATGCCAGTGTAACAACTGGACACAGCTTAAACCAGTCATATCCTTCTTAAAGACTCAGGGACAGATTTCACTGGTTAACCCTGCAGGGGACTGAAATCCCGCTGCTCATCTGCACGATCCCCCATTGACAGGAGCAGTTATCACTGATCATATTCGCTTTTCAGGCTTCTGGAGAGAATCCACTGTGAGGCCTGCATTCCGGAAGCGTCCGTCAAAGTCCTCGCAGCTTTTAGAGATGGCTGTTTAACTTCTGAGAGAATTCAAAGAGACAGGGCATTGTCTGAACTGCCACCCCCCAGAAATGACAACATCTGATTGAGAGCATCACTATGGGGCCCATGGAGTGTTTGGGGGGAAATTAGTTTTGGGGGGGGGGGGTGGCTGCTGCAGTGAGGAGATCAGGCATTGATCATGGCTCAGTGGGGCTGGGGGGGGGGCTCACATTATGTCAGCCATCGACCTGCCAAATCAATGGTCACTCCGGCTCTGTGAATAAACACACGGGGAGTGTAATCAGGGCGGCTGGGGGAGTGGGGGTGGGTGTGAGCACCTCCGGGGGGGCCTGCTTCCCTTCCCTCCGCTGTCTGCCAGCATGGGCCCCCTCTCTCCACCTGAACGCCGCGTTCAGCTGCTGCTACAGGCACGGGAGACTGGGCCTGACTGTCAATGAGCCCGCTGTCTGCTAGCGGAGCTGAGGCATGCTGGGATACGCAGAGTGGATTCCCCAATCGGGTGCGGACAGAATCGGTGCTCTCAAAGCGCCCTTTTGTCCCATCACAGATGGAGCTGTGTCCCAAAGGCGGCGCCTCCTGCTCACTGGGCTGTAATATACTGGGTGATTTCGCTCAATTTTTATACTGTGAGGGTTTCAGCTCGGTGGCATCTTATATAAAACTTCCCGGGGAGACTTGGCCATTACCTACACTACTCTAATGACGGCACCCAGGATATGCGGCACACTGAACTGTAACTGGAAGATGGTGTTATTTAGAAACATGACAAGCATCTCCCCGTATGCAAAGTGATCCTTGCTTTGGGTGGCATTACCCTTTAGACCAGCAGTGCAAAATAAATTAATCCAGCCAAAGACTCAAAGGTCAGAATGGGAATGAAGCTTGAATTTAGCCAATTTGAACTTATAAGAGCAAATATTTAATAATATGATCCTTGTGATGTCTTTCTTGCTTAAAAATCGCTTTTGTTAAAAAAAAAGAAGGGTTTTAGCACATGTTGGTGTCTGTGTAAAGTTGCCCTGGAGTGTTTCTCAGGACACAAAGGGAAAGAAAATTGGACGCTGTGTGGAGTAATTGTGGTTTTGATAACAGCTGAAGTGAACTTCAGTGCCATTCAGTGCCACATCCTGTGCTTTGTCTCCCCCTGGTGGACATATTCCTTTAACTGCGGATACAGTACTTTTTCAACCAAAGATCTAACCACAACATCTGAAGCCTTTCCCAAGCCAACGCATTCACCCTGACTGAATACACTTTGGCGACTTTTATAACTCGTACAATGTGAACTTATTACAGAAATATAACATTTTTGGTTATAAAATGTCAATTGTTCAAAACTACAAATACATTCCCTATTGCTTAAGAATGTCACAAACACACTTTATTTGCCATTTGCACAAGTACAGGTACATTGGAATGCTTCTCTTCGCTGACCGATCTTGCTCTCCGTAGCTTAGGGGGGTGCAGGGTCAGCTGGGGGTAAGGGCTTTGCTCAAGGGCCCACACACATGTAACTGATCTGCCGAGGCGATCTTCTGCTCACAAGCACAGACACATAGCCCACTGAGCCACTCGCCAAACCCCATCATAGCAATATGATTTATTCAGTATCTTTGTATATTCCTAAATCGAGTTTCTGCGTGCTGCAGCGTAACCGCATAACGCCACGCATGACAGTTTTGCCTAAGCCTGAACATGGAGCGGGACTCGCCCCAGCATTGGTAAAACCATGCCGCTACGTCCCGATCCTCACTCGTGCCAGTGTAGCGCACATGGTCCCGTGATTAAAAATGTCTACATGTCTAATGATAGGGCTCATCTTTTTATCACGGAAAACTTTCACTGGTAATTGTTATTAGATTGTTTTCTGTTATTTGTGTTTCATAGGGAATTAGACAAATGTTGACATTGTTTGTCCACAATAAAATGAAAATAATTATAGCATACATTTTGCTGTGAATTGACGTGTTTATATTTCTATGGTTTTCTAAACAGTGTGTTTTTAAAATGCTAGAGACAATGCGTGATTCATTAGGGTAAGTCATTTTCAGAAGTGTTAATTTTTCATTGTTTAATTGTGGAACAGATTTTTGGTGAGTAGTTTCATTTTTGTGTTCCTCGTTAGCCGTTGTCTTTAATTTTGACCACAAGGGGGTGCTGTTAGCATTTGATAGCGCCGACTTTGCGGCTTCCCAGCGCTGCTTTAGCGTACGCTAGCTACGCGAACGCTAAAGCTGGTCGTCTAAGGCCAAGTGGATTTAATAAAATTTCAGTCGTCTTCAGTTTCAGTCTGACTATCATACCAACTGCATGATCCACCTTCCAGTGCAGTGAGTGAAAATACCTTTTTAAGGAATGGTACAATTCACAGCTAAGAGACTGTTGCTCTGGGCAGTGAAAGCAGGAGCTGCTGTTAGGCGTTAAGTGGGGACCTGCCCTACTTTGTTCTGGTACCCTAGGCGAGATGCTGCTGTGGGGGGCGCTAAACAATTAAAAACATTTTTTAAAAATGACATGAAAAATTATATTAAAAACATTTCAATAGCAAAGAGTATCTGCCTGCTAACTAGGTAGCACACGTGTTTTGCAAGAAAAGCAGTGAAATATTAACACTAGTCTGCATGACTAATGTCACGGGACGCCACCAGAGATGTTCTGATTCTTTCAGTTGCTCTTTTGCGCCCCCTAGTCAAATGGCGCCATAGGCGATCGCTTATCGGCCGGCCCTGCGGTAACTAGTAGAAAATAGTCATCCAGAGTTATTCAGGACTCTGGCCTGTATTATTTTAGCCTTTATCGGTGAGTTCTGGAAGGCAGTGTGATCAGCATAAATGAAACTTCTTCAGTTCTGTACAGGGTACATTAGTACGGCATGTTCATTTGTTCTCTGTGCTCCCTTTAAACTGTGGAGCGGTGTCGCAGAGCCGGACGCCCGCTCTGAATAATCCCATCCAGACGCGCTTAATTCTGCCAGCACGGCGCCGGGGCCCCATCCGCACTGCATTTTGCACAATGCCCAGCTGAATCCGAGATCTCTTTAATTAAAAACTTGCAGATTGAGCATAAATCCCCCTACAGCCTCGGAGGAGGGAGGAGGATCCCGGCGACACGGGAATCGGAGGCGGTGGGGAGAGGGGGCCTGCAGAGCCCCCCCAGCTCAAGGAAAGGAAGCACCCCCTCCCCCTTTCACCATCAATATTCCACGCAGTGCGTCGGCTGGAATGCAGCCTTATCCTGATGCTGTGTGTGGACCGGGGCTTCCACGGCCCATACGGACTCCGCGTTACGGATGTGCTGCTGCAGCCCCACCTCGGCTATGGCTGAACCCTCAGACCCCTAGACGCAGTTCCCCGCTGCCCGGAGCGGATTAACCGCCATCTGCTGACGCGGAGGCTGTCTAGCACCAGCCTCCTGCTCGCACATTCCTGCATCATCCTAATATCGGTCGGCTCATTCCTCCTATACCCCCCAGAATGTTCTGCAGCGCCCTTGGCCCGCCCAGATTGGCTCGTGGCACCGGCACACGACCCTGCATCCACAGCTTTTATCCTCCCCTTTTTCCGACACGATGGGCCATGGCTAACGGACGTCACCATGCCCCATTAAAGCTAATAACGGTGTTGTCTCAGTGCGGCATCTGCTTCTGGGCCGCCATGCCACCTGGGCTTGTAAACATCGTGTTTGTCCGGCCCAGGATTCCGGACACGAGTTTCGCTTTATATACATCGGGAACATGGGAATTCTTACTCACAGCATCCAGTCAGTAACGTATGACATGTGCCAGAAACAGAGTGCACAAATCAAAACAAAGGAACCTCAGGGGTATATATTTAAGCAATACATATTAAATAAATCGAAGCATAAACAGAATATATAGCTGGGCACAGTATAAATATATCAATTAAATATAAAAATAACAGAAATGGCTCAAATAGGAAATAGTGAAGTTCACTGGGCAAAATATGGCTCAGTGCAGTGAAGTGTACTGTGCTTTAATGAGGTGACAGTGTGATTGCTCTGTATTGAGTTGAACTGCAGAGGGGAAAGCAGCCCGCTGCCTTTAGGGGGCAGTACCCCAAGGTGAGAGTCCATCTGCCTCAGTCTCTGGCCACTGGCATCAGTCACACGCCTCTCCACAGCTCGGTGGATCTCACAACACCTGTGGAAGCATTTTCTCAAGGCTCTCATGGTTCTGTCAACTTCCAGGTTTTTTTTTGGTTCTGTTGGGCTCCCACCTGTGAGTTTGGGGGGGGGGGGGGTCCTCTCCTTGGTCTGGTCACAGGAGGTCGTACATGAAGGCTTTGGGTCAGTACCATATTCCAGAAGAAAATGCTCTCATAGCGACTTGTTGGCCAGATGTCCAGATACCTGTATGGTGTGATGGAATGTGTGATGCCTGCCAGTTCTGGAGGACAGATCTGGTTTTTGCGTACAGTGGCCTCTTCACCTTCATTTGCAGAATCACGCCTGTCCTCTAAAATTCTGTCATAACACGACAGCCCGGGGGTTTAAATGGGGAATTAAGTATTATGTGGAGAAATGACATCTTCAATGTCGTTTCATCCAGAGAACTGACGGATTCACTTTGTCTTCATTTTTTTAGGATAGCTGCGCCAGAGTTCTGCTGTTCCGGGGAGCAAATAAAGAAATTAAGAACTACAACAGTCAGACAGCATTCCAGGTAAGGAGAAGATCGCTTGTTTCACCTTCAGTCCTGATAGCGACAGGAGGTGCTCGCTGAGCTCTGTGATCTCCTCCAGGCCAGGTGGAAGGACACCTCCCACTTTACTGCACTTAAACGGCAATTACAGGACTCATTTCACACCGGAGGTATGAGGTAACCTAACCAGTTATCTCATTGGCAGTTCACAGGCGTCACAGGAAGGGGGCGCCGACACCTTGATCCGCTCCACCCTCAACCTCTTTTACGCCTTTACTGAACTCATCTGAGAGTAAAACTTACTGCATGCGGTACTAGACTGCCACTGGGGGGTGCTAGAGAGCACAGTTTTAGTCTTACTCCGTGCTTTAAACTGTAGCTCCAGATACAGTTTATCGTAGACCTGTGCCCAGGTAGGATTTTTTGTACCCAAATACCCTAATTCGAGGGATTATCCCAGAACTTGTGGATGTGCCGCCACTGATAGTGGGAGGCGTTTGGTGATTTGGGACTCACCCCGGGGGCCGTAATGGTAATAAATCCAGGCCGTTTCTGCCCCTGGCAGAGTGCCTGCGTGGCCTGCAGATGGTCTCGGTGCTCGTCGGTGATCCTTCATAAGAGTCACTCTGCTGTATTACGACGCCTACCGCTGAGGAGCATCTTGCAGCCAATTCCTCCCCCCCCCCCCCCCCCCCCCCCCCCCCCCCCCCCCCCCCCCCGCCGATGCTGACACGCTACAGAAATCACATAGAGGTTACTGGCACCTGTACTAGAGCTGACCTGGATTTGGCATTTGCATTTTCACAGAGGAAAACAGACGACCGACATGGTTTAAAGAAACAGACACTTTATTCAGCCATTAACCCAAAGGAGCACTGCTCAACAACGTATATCTGGGGTATAAAGAAGTCTTCCTCTGTAAAAATGTTTTGCATGCTAATGATACAGTGATGGGCCCATGGTTTCCTGTGCAATGCATTATGGTCCAGGGTTTGACTAAGCGTCATGAAGAAGGTAGAGTGAAAAGGTACACTCACCTCACTGCATGGCTGAGAGGGACTCTTGTCAGCCCCGCTACTGCTCCTCCTCCCACAGATCTCCCTTGAAAGTAGCCGGCAGCTGCGATGCAGAGATGCTTAGGTACGGACGTCTCTTAGGAGAAGGTGTGGGGAGTTAAGATGCAGCCTGGCATCCTGTCACAGAGCGGTGTCTTTCAGAGATGTGGCTTGATGACTAAATAGGCCTCTGGAGTAGAAGTTCATTGTTAAATCAGTACCTGATCCTGCCTCATGTGGGCAAATTTAGCCTGATTTATTTGCCGAAAGGGCAGGAGCACTTGATAGGGTAAGTGGACAGAGCAAATAGGAAAATCATCTGAGAGCTGTTGTAGATGTGTCTTTAATGAAGCATGGACAACATTGGGAGATGAATCGACCCCTGGTGAGGCAGCAGGAGCAGAGGGACATTTTCTGAGAGAGAGGAGAGGTTCCTGACCTTCAGAGAAGGCGGAGAGATTCATCACCTCCAGAGATAGAGGAGATGTTCTTGACCTTCAGAGAGGAAGGAGAGGTTCCTGACTTCCATAGAGGGAGGAGAGATTTATGAGCTCCAGATTGGGAGGAGAGATTCCTAACCTCCAGAGATGGAGGAGATCTTCATGACCTCCAGAGTGGGAGGAGAGATTCCTAACCTCCAGAGGGATGAGAGGTTCCTGACCTCCATAGAGGGAAGAGAGGTTTATGTGCTCCAGACAGTGAGGAGAGGTTTATGAGCTCCAGAGAGGGATGAAAGGTTCCTGACCTCTATAGAAGGAGGAAAGGTCAATGAGCTTCAAAAAGAGAGGGTAGAGAGGTTTATGACCTCTAAGTTGGAGGAGAGGGTCACATCCTCTGAGATGGAGTAGCAGGTCATATCCCATCAGATCAGAACTGCATCCTGAACTGAGCTTTTTACACTAACAGGCGGCTGGACAGGGAGCCTCGAGGTCAGTCGGATTGAGTTGTGACACCTTCAGACTCCCATAATGCAATGGGGGTTTAGTAGGAACCATACAGGCCGTAGTTAAATCCTGTGAAGGGAAAAGCCTGCCTGGTGAGAGACTAGGAACAGAATGTGCTGGTACTGCTCCTTTCATCAGGGCTGGAAGCGAAGATCCACCAAATCGAACGTCTAAAAGTAAACTCATATAAATCTCTTCTTCAACCTGCATTCAGCTTTACAAATAGACATCAGATCACAGTGTTAGTCGTTAGGTCTGGGGGGCGGGGAGGGGGGGCAGGGGCTGGGTGCAGAACTTGGAGATAATTAAACAAAGATGGAATTTAATCTCCTGACTGTTCAATACCGACTGCAGACGTGTAACTCCTGGCTTTATGATTTCAGATCTGTTTTTCATGAGGCTGTTTAGGTCGATTTCAAAGGCAGTTCCCCGAGAAGCAGTCTGATATTGCTATATATCATATTGCATATATATCACATGCGATGACCTGTGCTCCAGGAACCAGAACGTGCCTCAGAAAGGATGGAATTTTGATGAGCTTTTCTCCGGGATGGTTGTGAGCAAGGAGGCGGCGTGGGAGGGTGTTGGGGGACGATGTTGATGGCTGTAAGGCTGTTCATTCAGCCTCTAAACCGAGCACTTTGCTGGATCACCGGCAGGGCTGGACTGGGATTAAAAATCAACCCAGGACTTTGTGCAGTAAGTTCCGCCCCTGGTATGGTTTGTTGACTGGGGGGTCCCCTCAATGAATTTTCCCGATGGCCAGTCCAGCTCTGATCTCTGGAAGCATGTCTGAGCAGTGGGCCCTCAGATTTGACTAAGCTGTCATACCGCTGGCGTGTTTTTGGAGGGTCAGTGTAAATCGCACAGCGTGGCGATGACATGGCGGCACACAGGGCAGGGTGTCACTGCGGTGGCGGTATTGGAAAGACGTGCAGCAGAGTCTCAGCTCCCCAGGGACATGGTGGCCTATAACCCCCCCACCGCTGCTCGTCACCCACTCAGCCAAGCTGATGATATGTTTGTGGGTCTTGCAATTAGAATATTAATAATTTCTTTACAATGGAAAAGAACATTTATCAGAGCTAAGTAATATTTATTAAATAAGTAAGTTTATTGTATTCATTCTCCCACCACCAGCACATGTACGAGTCATGAACCATTGATTCTCTGTTAACTCCGGGGTTCCCTTTTGTGGTTGTATTCATGCAGGTGGCCATAATCGCTGGGAATTTCGACCTGGCCGAGATCATAAAGATCCACAAAGTATCAGATGTAGGTAAGTCAACAGCGGCCTTGAGTATGAATGGCTGTGTATATCTCCATGACAACCGGGGCCCTGGTGCCGACCACTAAATTTAAAACAGGTTACGCTGCCCAATCTTGACCAACATTGTGTATTTTGGTATGGTCACAGAGTGGGATCTCTAGGGTTACTTAAACCCTGGCAGTGTTATTTTGAGTATGGCTAATAATCAAACTCACACTACCAGTTTTGCTCACCAAATACCCTAGATGGTGCTTCGCCAAGACCAGATGTCTTTTCACAGTCACTGGATTCACAGGCGTCTGCCTCTAATTGTAATCACGTTAAACATACTTTCCATGGTGATTTAGTTACTGAAAAACTTGCAGATAAACAGCTTTACAGTAAAAGTTGGAATGAGCTTGCTATTATTAGAAAATATGTTACAGGTACAGACTTACCATGGAAACAGGTTGCCATGGAAATGGGTGGTTTTTGCTGTTTTGTGTGAATTTGAGGTTATAGACAGGATTTTTAAGTATAAATCCTTCACACTTTTGTCTGACTTTGGCTGTAATTTGATGGCCTTTGTTTTTAACTTATTGTCACCTTTGTCCTGGCAGCCCTTCACCGGCTGTCAGGTGACTGGCCGCTCCTCGCATGGATTCTCCTGCTAAGTTTAGGCAGTAAGAAGGAGCGAGCTGCAGCTGATTATGCAGCCTCATCAGCCTGACGCTCGGCCATCAGGATGGGTTCTCCTTCAGGTTCTCCACTGGCAGGCTTGATATTGCATCAGTGTCTTCAGGACAGATTCTGGTGCCATAATTTAGTGGCCTGCCGGCTGTGTATAGGGCCAGTTGTGCAGTGACAGAAGCACGTAAAGCTGTTATATCATGCCTAAGGTGTGTCTGTCGGGTTAGTCGCCATGTCTCGGGGCGAATGCAGTGGCACGAGGGCGTTACTGTAAAAAGGCAGCCCCTGCTGGGGGCCGTGTGGAAGCTCTGGGGTCTCCTTTAGACTGCAGTATCCTGCTCTTAGGTCTTCTTGAAAATGTGTGGTTTTGGGGTGATTCACAGCCCAGACAGGGAGCTGGAGCCCCCCCCCCCCAAACCCAAACTCATCCCCACATCACGGGGTTCTGGTTGCTGTTTCATGCGGAGCAGGTCTTGTGGAAATGTTTAGGATGGACCAGGGTGCTGGGCTTTCCTGTTACTCTTTAGCATGAAAATTGACTCTGGTTGTCTTTGAAATGCTGGTGTTGGATGTCAGTGTCAATGGTAAACCATGAAAGTGCAGTGTTCTGTAGTGATTGTAGGGCATCAAGGGGTTTGAGGTATATAATTCCTGTGTTTAACACCCCCTCCTCATTGCCCCCCCAGTGCCTTTCAGGGAAACCCCGTCGTATACCAGCCGGCGACGGGCCACGGGCACCGGCACGCTGACGTCGCCGCGCTCGCTGCTGCGCTCCACCAGTGACAACAACCTGAACGCCGAGGGCCGGCCCGCCAACTCTCCGGCGCCGTCGCTGCGCAGCCTGCCCCCGCTGGCCGGGCCTCCGCCGCCGCCCCCCGACGTGGCCGACAGCAGCCTGCAGAGCACAGCCAGCTCCCGCAGCTCGCACTCCCGCTCACCATCCCTGCAGTGTGTGCAGGAGGAGGCCGACAAGCTCAGCCTCCCCCGACCCGGCCGAGGCCGCCTCAGGTAGATCCCATCACTCTATTGCTCTCTCCTCCTCAGTGCTTCTCTCTGCTCCTCTCTACTCCTTAGTTCTCTTTTCTGCTCCTCTCTCCTGCTTGGTGCTCCTCTCCATTTTCCTCTCCTCCTCGTTCCTTTCTCCATTTCCCTCCTCCTCAGTGCTCCTTTCTCCACTCCTGCTCTGTGCTTCTCCTTCATTTCCCCCCTCCTCACTGCTCCACTCTACTCCTCAGTGTTCCTCTCTGCTCCTTTCTTTTCCTCAGTGCTCCTCTGTCCTTTCCCCTTCTCTTTAGTGCTCCACTCTGTTCCTCTCTCCTTCTCAGTGCTCCTCTCTCCTTTCCCCTTCTCTTTAGTGCTCCACTCTGTTCCTCTCTCCTTCTCAGTGCTCCTCTTGCCTTTCCTCTTCTCCTCACATGTCCCCTTTCCTCAGTGCTCCCTAAGGATAGTGCTCCTTTCTGCTCCACTCACCTCCTATCTGCTTTTCTCTCCTTATCGGTGTTCCTCTCTCCTCCTCTCAGCTACTCTCAACTCACACATTATAATTTCTACTTTAACTCTTTCATTTAATTTCTCCTCATTTCCTTATTTAATTTCATTTCTCGTCATTCTACCTTGTCATCCCTGTGTGCCGTTCTGTGGTAGCCTCTCTCCAAAATGGCCGTCACCTTGTTGTTTAACCCACATGAGCTAGAGCACATCCTAAATGTGTCCCTGTGCCGGACGGGAATCATCACCAGGTCTGAAAGGGCAGCTTGTCCCCTTTGCCAAGTGAGTCATCGAGAGCCGTAGGATCCGCGTGCTGGCAGGGCGCCCCCTGCTGGGGGCAGGAGGGCAGCACCACTCTGCAGAGAGCACAGATGACAGCCCCCCCTAAGTTGCGAGAATGAGCACCAGATGGACACCTTTAATAATGATCACTGTGGAGAGCACAGCAGTTTGCTGGCAAAGGGCGGCTCAGCCTCCGTGTGGCACCGTTGACTGGCAGGCGGGGCAGCGGGCAGGGCGGTGCATGAGGTGCGGCGCTTCGGAAGGGAGGCCTGTTTCCATCCGCTAGGATATCCCACCGATGAAGGGAGTCCCTCTGGTATTTAAATGCCGGCACAGCGGGCATAAGGAACGGACAGCAGACTGGAGATTTATCATCACGTCTCGGTGCTGACGTTCTGCATTCCAGAAGCTTCCCGTTGATTCCGTCGGCAGTCTCGGGCTGCTAGATCACACACCCATTTTACGTGAGTAAAAGGAAGCCAGCGGCCTGCCCATGTCTTCGGAATGTCGCCACTTGCCGGATGCAGAGACGCATTCCTGACAGCCACGGAACATTCCATTACAGAGCCAGATCAGCTGTGGTTCATTTATGCGGGACACCTGTCCGTCCGGGGTCGCTCTGCGGGATAATAAGGTGCTTATAAGACAGAGACGCCTGCGTTTTCCCTCCTTTGAAGTATTCAGTGTTTTTCAAGTGCCAGTGTACGTGCAAATGGTCACCGTGGCAACGAGTGAAGCCCCCATCATTCGATGTTGCGCCCTCTCTGTGTAATTATGTTCCAGACCTACGATAACGGGTTACACGGAAGCAGGCACTCAGATGCTCTGGAGATCTGTAAGACATCACCTTCCAAGAGGTGGCCGGTAGGCCCGGAGTGGCCATAACGATGTGTCCAACGCCGTCATCATGGCCCAGAGTGACATGCCATTGCCATGATGTGTATTAAGGCCCTGTAGTCAAGCCTTTCTCCTTCGAGGCAGAGCTGTTATAACAAGCTAGCAGGGACAGTATCCATCAGAGTGATGTAGGGGGGGGGGTGCTCTTGGGGTGTCACAGGTAGAGCTCCAAGGTGGGATGAAAGGCAGGGATACTAGAGCAAGAACACGTCGTTGGCCGATGATCGACCATGGAAGCTGCAGAGCGTCAGTAATGGCCACAGAGTCATGGAAAAGCAGGCAGACACCGCATGACGTTGGGTCGCGTGTTGGGGTTGTGTTTCAGCCATGCATGTCCGGTCAGGCCTGCGTTTGGATCACAGTGGACGTCACCATGGGTTACGGACACGTGAGCTGCAGAAAGCCTCGGTCTTCCTGGTGTTTTATACGCACGGGGGGGTCCAGAGTCTCGTAGCCCAGAGCTTGAGAGGCGGCCATGTTTCAATAACCCTGTGTTTGGAAGACTGGCTTTTCATTGGAAACAGGACCCTTTGTAGAATAAGCCTCCACTTTGTGGGGCATCTGTCTGTTCTCTCGGCTGTATCTTCTTATTTTTGAGGCGGTTTGAAAGCGCCCCCCACCCCCCGCTCTCCCCCTACTCCCCGTCCCATCTCTTGCCCCAGCCCCCCCACCTTGGCCGCACCCCCTCGCTTCCCCTGTAGCCCATTCTGTTGCTCCTTCTGTCAGTCGCTCCATTCCGGCTCGTTTTTAATTACGGCCACGGGGCCCTGCCGTCTGAAGGTGATCGTGCGCCCCTCCCCCTTGCTGCCACGGCGACCTGCCCCCCGGGTCCCCTGCCCGCTATCCGCCTGCCACCAGCTGTCCCCGCTTGCCCGCATCCAAATCGGGAGACTGTAAAAGTACCTCCTGCAGGGCCGTGTGTAATGTGGTGGGGGGTCGGTCCACACTCTCCAAAACGAAAGGGCCGCGTCAATCCAGCGATCGCTGTGCTTTACACTTATATAGAACTGAATTTCACACTGGCATTCATCTTACTGCTGCTTCCTCTGATCTCTAATTATTTCCAATTTGGCATTTCTGCCACCAGATAATTCCTGATTCAGCATTCCTCTCC